TATATTACACAACAAGATCCTTCTAGATAGGTAGGGACTTTTTCTGTGAATTGCACCGTAGTGTACAGGTATCCCTATATTCTGTCATACAGACCCTGAAACAAATATAACCAATACAGCCCAAGCAAGTCTATAATAGTTGGCAAGTCTAGATTACTGCAGTTTCAGGGAAATGAATAAAGTCTCTGGGCTCCTTTTTATTAAATGTTAATATTATAAGTTGTAGCAGGATCACGAGGGGTACATGTTTTTTTTATGCGTCCCGCGTTACGTAGCCGGAGGGGTGTGGTATAAAACCTAACGAGGGATGCATAAAACCCCATGTACCCCTTGTGATCCTGCTACAACAAATTTATCTTACAGACATGTTTTAATGTGACATTGTAAGAGAATAAACACAAATTCAAAACTGATAGAAAAGAGCTGTTCAAGTGAGCTGAGGTCAACTTGTGCTATGTCATGTGACTTCCTTTGACTCGGGGGAAAAAGCGTACAGCTTTTTGCTTTGAAGCGGAGTGCAAAGGATTTATTTTTCCTCTCAGAAATCCACATGCAACCTGTATTGCTCGTGCTCCAAGGCGGTTCACACAGTATTTTATCAAGAACATGTGGACCAATCAGATCTTGTCATTCTGACACGGTGGTATGATAAGATAGTTTTACGTGTTTTTTTGTAAAATATTTGTATTTCAGAGACCAGATATTATTCTAGTATCCCAAAGGCTAGGAGATATTCAGGCTCCATGCATTATCGCTAGTCAGCATTTCAGGATTATTTCAACCACTGAAAGAGGCCACGTATTTTACCCTGGCCTCTGTGAGCCTAAACCTATGTGATATCTTTGAAACATTTTGATGATAATTAATTCCAACGAGGATAACGCTTTCTCACTCCAGAGCCCTGATTAAGTTCATCACAAAAAGTCATTAGTCATACTCCTGGCCTATCTTTGCACCCACAGCATACATTATCAATGTACACCTTTACAACCAGACCATGAGGATGAGATAACATGTCCTTTTCATCAAGGAACATTTTCTGAAATCTATTTCTAACCTGATGAAAAGTCTGTGTTGATAACAAAAATAAATGCATGTTATCTTAATCAGATAACCTCCCCTTCACAGAAGGCACGCAGTACATCAGCCTTTCAAAATAACTTGAATTAATTACCTTCGACCATCAACAAAATCTGCTTAATTATACACTAGCTACACACTATTACATATTCTATTTTATCTGTCCTTGATATACCACTAAAAAAATGTTAAGGACCACCCAATTCTTTCATATTATCAGTGAGTGAGTGAGTGAGTGGTTTGGGGTTAACGCCGCTTTTAACAGTATTCCAGTTATATCACGGCGTGTCAGCTTAATGTGGGAGGAAAGCCCCAAGTGATGCAGGTCTCAGACGTTTACCACTTCGGTGAAACCCACGAGCACGGGTATGGTGCTGACAAACCTAGAAAAAATAATCGGGGCGAACCGGGATTCGAACCCACAATCATAGGTTTCTGGACGTATCATAGTTTTAACTGTCGTGGCATGACAATAGTAATATGAAAGAATCGGGTGGTCCTTACTTTATCCAAGACTATCACTAAGTGACTGAGTGAGTTGGGTCAGATTCTGATTTAAACACTATTTCAGTCATCTGGTCACATGGCATATCAGTGTGGCACAGGTCTCAGAGAATAGTTTTTCAGCAACCCATGCTTGCCATAAAAGGAGACTGTGCTTGTTGCTAGAGGTGACTAACGGGATCGGGTGGTCAGGCTCACTGACTTGGTTGATGCATGTCATCGATCCCAATTGCGTGGATCGATGCTGATGATATCAATCACTAGACTGTCTGGTCCAGACCCGATTATTTACAGACCGTCATATAGCTGGAATATTGCTGAGTGCAGCATTCAACAAGAAAACCAACCAACCAACCAACAGGTCTCAGAATTTACTACCAGATGAAACCCAAGAGTACATGGATGGTGCTGACAGACCAAGAATCATAATTATAATGAATGAAGGCATCAAAGAAGGTACGGAATGCCTATGCCTATAACATGTATAACTGTTCTGAGGTAATTCACCTTTTCACAGATCACAGGTAATTTTTCCATATGTTTCACAATCATGGATAATTATCATCTAAATTAGTTCATATTTCATAGAGATAAGAAATGATCCATTCTTAGTTATCAATCTGATAGTGACTTAAACCAAATAATTTACAAGTTTGTTTTTGCAAGCATAAACTAGGGCAGCACCTCATATTCTTGTAATTCTTGGTAACAACTTGTCAGACAGACCACCTTGGGCGTTTCTTGAGAGTTTTGGGCTGTTCCCCAAATTTACTACATGGTGTTCCTAGTTTCGATATAAAAATCATAATGAATAATGTCATTTCATGAGAGAGAAAAAGACATTTCACGGCAAAAAATAATAATTATTTGCAAATTCCAGATAACAGGACTGTTGAGACATGGCAATTTAAAAGAGCAATTTAAAAGAGCCAATAATGTATAACGAAATGGGTATTCCCTACCCGTGTCAAACCCATGACCAGGTATCCTGGTAGCAAGACGATACTGGACATCAGACAGACCACTGGTTGGTTGGTTGGTTGTTTAACGCCACATTCAGCAATATTCCAGCTATATGACGGCGGTCTGTAAATAATCGAATCTGGACCAGACAATCCAGTGATTGATATCATAAGCATCGATCCACGCAATTGTTATTGATGACATGCATCAACCAAGTCTGCGAGCCTGACCACCCGATCCCGTTAGTCGCCTTTTACGACAAGCAAAGTCACCTTTTACGGCAAGAATGGGTTGCTGAAGACCTATTTTACCTGGAATCTTCACGGGTCGACAGACCACTGACGTGGTTCATGGTGTTAAATTGAATACTGATACATTTCATTGTTAATTTCATACAATTACCTGTATTTCAGTAGTCAGAGATAATCTCTTCAAGACAAATGTACTACTCAATAGTGAAAGAACACCCGATTCTTTCACATTACTATAGTTATGCCAAGACAGGTTATCTGTAGTAATATGAAAGAATTGAGTGTGCATTAACTTCTTTTAGGGCTGGGACGAGTCCAAATTTACTACCCAGGTACCCACACCCCTATTATCCGACCCTACCCAGGTACCCGCTGTTGGTGTCAAGAGATAGGTACAAAATGTTCCATTGGGAATAGTTTGACAGTAGCCCTGGCAGAATGTTTTTAGATACACGTATAAAACAATGTGGTCATGCATACACTGAAGTTGACTGAAGTTTTAGCTTTGTTCAAACATATTTAAGTTAGAAGGAACGTGTTCATAGTCATGAAGAAATGCGAACATTAGAGACTTAAAATTGTTGTGTAACCATGTAGTTATATAGTGAATTTTTGTCATGAAACAATATATCAAGTGACTCACCACGGGGTATTCCTGTGGGAACCCACGTCCTACTCAGTACCCACCCGACCCGGGTACCTGAGTTACCCGTCCCAGCCCTAACTTCTTTTGAGGAGTGTATATATAGTGACATTTGGCTTATGTCATTTTCAAAACAAACAGCTCCTTCGTTTCAAGTTATGACATTCTTACCAATTTCCAAACTTAAAACAAATTTATTTATTAGTTTTTCTATTTGGTCATGTATCCTGAGATGCTAATATAATTTCAAAATCTTAATATGCCTTACAACACAGATGTAAGAAAAAAAACCTTTGAAACACTTTATTCACTTCCTCATCATTGAGGAACAAGGTTCCGTAGTTGAAGAAACAGGATTTACTACAGGTTCTATAATTGCCTAACTAATCAAGAACACAAGAATGAGGTTTCTTCATTAAATGTCCCACTAATAATATGTAATACCGTATTTGACGTAATAAGCGCCCACGGCGATATTTGCTAATATATTGGCTAGTGAACAATCCCATTTAGCACCCCTTACGATTGATCAATGTACACAAGACTTATTTATTCGTGTATAATACGTGTGTTATATGCATCCTTAATTGTGGGAAATTAGATTCTGGAAAAATACATCTGTCGTATATAAACATTTCAGGCTGTCAGCATAAACCACGAAATTTACGATCTTTTAACCTGTTGTTTTTCACCAAAATAATATTCTAATAAGAGCCCCCTTTTTCTAATTTTGAGAGCGATCTGGGTGCTTATTATGTCGAATACGGTAAATATTTGTTGCCCCATCAGATTCAAACTTGTCAGCACTCATCTATGTAGACAGCCGGCAAATGAGCTATGTAGATAACTACCCAATATGTACTGTTCTGTTAAAAAGGTTCTGTAGTTGAAGAAACGATATATACTTAAGGTTCTATAATTGCCCAACTAATCAGATTCTTCTCACAGTGCTCTCAAGATGCGGACCTCGCCCTTTCAAGGGGTCAACAATTTGATGTGTGGGTCATATGACTGGAAGCCCTTATTGGAAACATCAGAATTAGTTCTTATTGTCATTATTATTCCACCGATTTCTGCACCAGAGATGACTGAATAATGAGTGGCCTGATCCTGTTTAAAATCTTTACATTAATTATCATCTTAAATGTTTTGAAGCACTGACTGAATACATACTTTGTCTCAAAGTGAGTGAGTGGGTGGGTGGGTGGGTGAGTGGGTGAGTGGGTGAGTGAGTGAGTGAGTGAGTGAGTGAGTGAGTGAGTGAGTGAGTGAGTGAGTGAGTGAGAGAGAGAGAGAGAGAGAGGGAAGGAGGGAGGGTGGGTGGGTGGGTGGGTGGGTGAGCGAGCGAGTATTGTTTTACATCTCTTTTAGCAATATTCCAGCAATATCATGGCGGGGGACACCAGAAATGGGCCTCACACATTGTACCCATGTGGGGAATCAACCTGTGTCTTCGGCGTGACGAGTAAACGCTTTAACCCAAAGGCTACCCGACTGCCCCTCAAGCCCAAAGAAAGTGAGTGATGGTCCTCAAGCATGTGAATGTTTGGAATTTCTACCTTTACATCGGAACCCTTGACTTCAAACACCTGCGTGCTCTGGTCCAATCCAATGGTAGATTTCTTCCCTGTTTCTTCAATGTAGGTATTATTGCGGAATCGTCTGAAGATAGAACTCTTGCCGACCCCATACTCCCCACACAAGATGATCTTGTAGTTGGGGCTGCCGGTCGCCATCTTCAGTGGTCTGAAAACAAATGAACAAATTGACGTCAAATTAAACAAATTCTCTTCCTGATTTTGTGAATGTTCCTGGTTAAATGAAACTACTACAAGTCTCTTAGTCAGATGAAGCAGATCAATATTCCCTGTCATGAAATATTATACAGATACAGTGACACAGGACTGTTTCCTGGGTTTGTCAGGGGTGTATACCTAATGCCTAATGGAGGAAGAAGGGCGGAGGGAGAGAAATCCCACGGCACCCCAAATACACCTGTGCTTTGAAATACACCTCCTGGTTGGACAGACAAGTGGACACGCACCCACCCTGAAAGTTAATATTTAAAAGAATGCCACCCACCAAATTCACACAGTCATCCTGGTGTGTCCCTTTAAATCAATGTCAAAGTCTGTCATTTACAACAGTTTTAGCACAGAGGCAGTTTGGAGGAAGCCATCATAATTACATTAAATCTATAATGAACAAAAGGGAGCTTCGACAGTCATACATCTACAATCTCCTCATGGAAAGAACTCTGGTCGTGTAAGTTAAGGTACAACTGACAAAGGTCATACGAGGCCACGACAAATTAATCATCACATTTTCATTCCTGCCTGACTCACTTATAAAAAGGCTTACGATACCATGTATTGTGTCCACATGTAGAAGAAAATCACTGCGTTCCCTTCCTCCTTACTTCAGGAAGTACACAGACTTGTATAAGTTTCGTAGGAAATGACAGTTAATTTAAATCACAATTCCTAGAATAAGCAATAAATAAGAACAAGTTGTCCCTATAAAAGGGTGGCGCTTACTGTCGGCTCATCATGACTTTCTTATTATAGGGTTTCAGTTTCATATTCTTTACCGCCGCACTCAGCAATATTCCAGCTATATGACGGCGGTCTGTAAATAATCAAGTCTGGACCAGACAATCAAGAAACAAACAAACAAACGCAGCAAGGCTATGAAGTAGACTGTTTAAAAAAAGATAAAATATAAATTCAATAGCTTTTCCTGAGTTATCTAAAAGTTTGGATGAAAAGCTAATAATTAATTTAATGTGGCCTAGGTGCATTGTCACGAGATTGACAGGGCTGAAAAAATGACACTAATTTGAGAAGGGCTGAAAGGATTCTCTATTTTAAATCCATTCAAAATCATTGAAGTAAGCTAAATAGGATTGACCAGACTGGTTTGATGTAGCATCAGAACTCCAGATCATTTTTTGAGCCATTGAATATTTACTCACATGTTATCATCCACAGTGGGTATTGATAGTTTTCTTGGGTATTCAATATACTCTTACTCTCTTGGGTTCAGTCTTTTGGGTTTTGAAAACCGATGAGTAGACATTTTATCAAATAATTCCGCTTCAATGCTGTTTCATGTAGTCTCTAATGTGTTCATGTGCTGCCCCAAGTGTGGTGCATGCTGCATAACCTCATAACAGTAATATATGTCTTATAGTAAGCAAGACCCGGGGAAGAATAGGTCTCCAGCAACCCATGCTTGTTGTAAGAGGCGACTATGCTTGTTGTAAGAGGCGACTAACGGGATCGGGTGGTCAGGCTCGCGGACTTGGTTGATGCATGTCATTGTATCCCAATTGCGTGGATCGATGCTCATGATGTCAATCACTAGACTGTCTGGTCCAGACTTGATTATTAAAAGACTGGAATATTGCTTAGTGCGGCGTTATACAACAAACAAAACAAAATACAGTAAGCAAGACGTAGCACATCTGTGCATTGCTCACTGCAGTGAGTTCATGTGTACATTGTGATGCCTACAATAACTCAGTAAGAAAAGGACCCGTGAAGATTCCGGGATAGAATAGGTCTTCAGCAACCCATGCTTGCCGTAAAAGGCGACTATGCTTGTCGTAAGAGGCGACTAACAGGATTGGGTGGTCAGGCTCGCTGACTTGGTTGATGCATGTCATCGATCCCAATTGCGTGGATCGATGCTCATGATATTAATCACTGGATTGTCTGGTCCAGACTTGATTATTTACAGACCGCCGTCATATAGCTGGAATATTGCTGGAGTGCGGCGTTAAACAACAAACCAACAACAGTAAGAGAAGACCTATAAAGAAATACATGTACACAAGCTGAAAAGGCTACATTGAATAATTACGTGTTTTTTTTACTGTTGGGTTATCAAATGTCTTCATACGTAAGTATGCAAGCGTCTCAAAATTAATTACGATGATTTAGGTTGCGTATTTTACAGAAATACACAGCTCTCTGGTAGCAAGCACTGCCACGATGGTGGAGTTTGAGCCTTCTAGCAGCACATGGATGGCTGCATGTTCTTCAATGGAATCAAAGTCCAGTAATAATGTGATCTTTGACCTCCTTGCTACATCGGCCAGGATTAACAAGTTGCTCTAGAGCACAATGACCTAGGTACATGTCTCCAATCTAGTACACAGGATAGTTTGTGCATTCCAACATGGAAACCATGCACCATATCTCCAGGGCTTGCGTTTCAGTAAACCTACAATAGCTCCTTGACCCCTTCCCCTGGTTCTTGCAAACCCAAATTACCTGCCCTTGATTTCCATTTGACAATTTGATTGGCTATGTTACCAATCAGAATGCGAGTTATTAACCAGCCTCAAAGTTTGGTTGTCAATATGGCGGCCAGTCACATTGATAATGATCGAGTTTGAGAGAAATTCAACATTGAAAAACTAACTGACATGTTAAAGAAAGCCCATAATAATCTTTTAGATGGAAAGGATGTCAGTGGCTTTGGTTTCTAGGTAATACAAGTCCTTTTACCCAATCAAGGAAGGGTAATTTGCGATCGCAAGAAGCACAGCAATGGATCCTGGGGTTAGCGTAGGTTTACTGAAATGCAAGCACTGGAAATATAGAGGATGCATGGAGCTTGTTCCTTCTGTGTAACAGACGTGACGAAGTGTAACACCTTGCCAGAATACCTTCGCCATCATCAACAGTTCCGTCACTCATACATTTCAAATCTCAACAGAAAACCCATCTTTTTGAAACATACTTCTCTTGAACCAGACTTTGTGTCAGTTTGTGTCAAGTGCTTGTTGGTAGAGAAGTGTGTTCACAGTGAACCACCAAGTTCCTGATGCCCCTCCCCTGAATAAGAACGCTCACTGGATTTAGCGCAAATTTAATGGACATATACTGAACAAAGAAAGTTAGGGATAATGAAATATGTTTCTATACCAGACACATTTAAAGAAAATATCCCCGAAAATATTCATTATCCTTACCCATTATTGTTCATTTTTATCATTTACAGATTAAATAAATAAATGCAGCAAAAGAGATGTGAGAGGAAAGCCCACAGCGATGCAGGTCTTACCACCTTGTTTACCTCTTTGGTGAAACCCACGAGTATTGGTCTGGTGCTGACAAACCTAGAAACCTAATCAGGGTGAATCTGGGATGAGAACTCACGATCACTGGTGTATAGCATGTCTAAGGGATGCAACTCTCAAGAAGAATCTCAACGACTTAGATGACCCTAAAAATGGCAGAAATGGGAAAAGAATATGACCAAATTACTCCACAATTCAACAGTGACAGTCGACCTGGGAAGATCCGGGGTAGTATAGGTCCTCAGCAACCCATGCTTGCCGTAAAAGCGACTATGCTTGTCGTAAGAGATGACACAGGATCGGGTGGTCGGGGTCGCTGACTTGGTTGATGCATGTCAACTAATCCAATTGTCTGGATCAATGCTCATCATTTTAATCATGGGTTGTCTGGTCCAGACTCAATTATTTACAGACCCCTGTCATATAGCTTGAATATTGCTGAGTGCGGCATTAAAAAACATACAACAACAGTGACAGTCCTAATGAAGTCTTCTCTCAACAGGCCTGCATCATGCCCAACTTACAAACGCTGTAACTTATTAATGACATTAGTTGTGTAACGATACGGCGATACAGTATTGTATCCCGATGTACAGCCCACGATACGATGCATCGATTTGGAAAGCATGTATCGCGATACATACAATATTTTCATAACACAGTTTTACTTACCGAATACTTTTAAACATGACATACGTTTAACAGTTTCAAAGCCAGTTTGTTGTTTCAGTAAAACATACTGTATTGCTGACAATTTGCTATAACAGTAAATAAACACCTTATATCTTCTTCAACTGTACTTGTCACATCTTTTAGAGAGCAGAAAGACTGTATTGTGATACGTATCGTATCGCGACCCCTGTATCGTGATACGTATCGTATCGCGACCCTCCCGTATTGTTACACCTCTAAATGACATGGTCTCATTAACATAACTACATATCATTATGGGACTGACTGTCCACACACAAACTGAAAGACATCCTGTCAACTCGTCACAAAGAAGCCCTATCCTACTGTACGACCCTGATTTATTAAGTTGCACCAGTGTGTTCCAACTACCCTCACCAGTAGAGACCTGTTTCATTATTCAGTCTCAAACATCTTTTTTTTAGGAATCAGAACAATATTTTGAAGTCTTAATTTCCTTCCTGTAAGCTGCAAAATGGACGATGAACTAACCGGATTCAAAATGTCAAAAATAAATCCCACTTCAGGCCCATTTCAATCGCACAAACTTTAGCTAAAGTCCAACCACAGGGGCTTACCTAGCAGTCCAAACTGCCCTTGCCGGGAAATTATCTAAAAAAGTGTTTTTTTGGTTAAAGTTCTTATTTTCAGAGGTTGCTCAACATCGCATTCAATACAATAATGTAACATTAAGCCACTTCCTGTTAACTGGTTCCATTATCTGTGAAGTCTCCTTGATCAAGCAATAACTTGAAATAGGAACTTCATAATTCCCATTTAGGAATTTTTACGAACAATTGCTGTAGACTTGGGTCCGAATATCGGTCTCTGGGCGGGTTCTAGCTAAACCCCTAAACCAATAGTCAAATAGAGCGGAGCTTACAATAAAGACCGGCACTGACAATTAATCATCTTGATATTTATCATAAGTATTACCTCACAAATACAGGGGGCGGTCGGGTAGCCT